TATAATTTATACAACATTTGAAAATAAAGACAAATATGTTTTGGCAATAAAAGTATTGATGAGATGTAAGTCTTAAAAATGAATAGATGTCGAGGTTTAGAGATTTGATAAATCGATTGCAATTGTATTATACATCAGAAAAACGTATTTCACATCTTCTTCTACTAATGAATTCGTAACACTTATGCGGACTTAAGATACAGACGATGAGAGCAGCGCCTCCTCATAGCGCCCACCCTTTTCTATGTATATCTCGGCGTATGGGATGTCCGCGTTTTGCGTTAACTCTATTGCCTGTTGTTTCTTAAGGACTAATAATGAGAAGAACTTCTGTGCGACCTATTGGGTGACAAACAATAGCAAACATAACATTAGCACAACTTTCCCGCAAAAGGCGCCAACGAATGCACACCTGTTTCCTCCGGTTATGTTTGACCAAATTGGTGAACAGGAGGGGCCCCTCCTCTAACTGGGTTACCATATACCTCAACAGTATATCTGTGCGCCGTTTGGTTATCCGCTCCTCGAACTGCTCCTCCGTCTCGCCCTCAAACATGGGCTCCGGCTGTCAGACAAACCAATTCAAGGGTTAAACCATTATAAAGTCCATTCATTCACCAACTCATAGACATAGACACGACATACCGGTCCCACAGACATGGGCGCGCCGTACATGTCGTCGTCGTCGTCCTCCTCCTGAAACGTGTCGAACGTGTGTTGGAAGGGCTGTTCGCTCGTCGCCAGACTGCCGGCGCGAATGTTCTGCAGCGACGACACGTCCTTCAGCCGCGAGTCTGGTGTCTCATCGCGAGTGATGTGATTGTTGACGGCCTCCTTGTCTTTGTGCTTCCGGTCCTCTGTTTTGCGCTTCTTTTTAGGCGGCGTTCGCGTATAGGAGGGAGTCTTCGGGGTTTTGGGCGGCTGTAGGTCCTCAGCGATGGGCGACAGTTGCGGCAACTGCTCCTCCAAATCGTCCAACTCGGGCAGCGGTGGCGGCATATCGTGTCCGTTCATGAGCTCGCCCTCCGGCAACTGGTCCTCCATATCCACTTCGATGCGAGTGGTGGTCAAGTGGCGCGAGTAGAGCACCAGTAGTCGGGCGCAGGGCATCAACCGTTCGGGCAGTGCGAACATCTTATCGCTGGTGCCGGTGCGCTTCCAGTGCATCAACTTCTTGGAGGGCGGCGCCAAATCCAATGTCGTCATGATGTCGCCGGTGTCCGAGAGCTGGGCCTTCATCTCCTCGCCGGACAGTGTCTTCACTTCGTCGATAAGCATTCCTAACTTCTTGCGCCGTTTGCGACGCCTCTCCAGCCCCTGGCCCTCCAGCGGCTCCAACACCATCGTGTCGTGAATGTCGGACAGCTTGGGGTCGAGCGTACTGTCCCGTCGGATGCCCTCCAGCGCGTCGAACGACTGCTGCTGTACGACCGGCGCGGGCGCCGCCGCGAACGGCATCTCCTCGTCGTCGTCGGGCAGCGGCGGCACCGAACCGGGCGTTGACGGCGGACCCGAGGGTGCCATTGACGCCGGCGCTCCGTACGACATACTGTCGCTGCGGTCAGACATGGCTGAGTCGGGCCGTTGCACACTCTTGGGCTGCTGTTCGGGCACTTCGTGGTGCGGGTCGAGCTGCTCGAGCGCTTCGGGCGGCACCGGGAGGCCGAACATGTCGTCGTCGTCGATGATACCGACGCCGAGTTCGCCGCCGAAGCCATCGTCGAGCGCCGGCCTGTCGAACAAATCGATTCCCGTTTTGGCGCCACTTTTGCCCAAAACCGGTGTCTCCTTCAGGTTAATGCCGCCATCGTTGGCGTGAACCGACGACATGTCCGACCACTCCCTCACGTCCTGCATGAGCGGGTCGTCCACGTGAAGGCTGGAGATGTCCTCCACTAGTGTTATGTTTCGTATGTTAGCGCTGGTGGCCGGCGGTTCCATTTGCCTACCGGTGCCGTCAAATAAGACAAACATTTAAATCAATAAATTATAGACAACTCTATAGCTAAACGTAACACTAAATAAAATCATCGAAACTAATGACACAAATGAACAAAAGAGTGAATGAATGCATACATCGGCGGCTCAGCGATGAGATCAAAGTCGTTGATGAAGTCCAACATCTCTGGCAGAGTGATGGCACTGATGGCCGCCTCAGTCTTGCCATCGGGCAGATCGACAGCTCCCGGTCTGAACGCACTCTTTATCTTAAAGGCCGCGTCCTGACAGTCCTGCAGCAGATACAGCGTCTTTCGGGCGTAGATCCGCACGATTCCCAACAGCAGGTGAGAGGACGTCCTCAGCGACAGCTTCACCTGCGATCACAAAACATACATTGGATCCGTTCACAACTCACACCACAAGACACACGCACTCAATGGCGCGCATCACTTGATCCGTCAAAGACGTGTCTCACACGCAGTGATCAATTGATGGTCGCATTGGCGGTGATGTCTGCGCGAGTGACCACAACTGTCACATACCTTAGGCTGTAGTATGGAGTCGACACTCTCGACGATATTGGTCTCGAGGATCTGCGCTTTGGTGATCTTCTTGTCCCAGTGGGCGGCCAACCAGACCCTGGCTAACGGCCCCTTCTTTCCCAACACGAACACCGAGTAAAACATGGCTCAGGAGGTGGTGGCGGGCGGCGGAGGTGCGATGTGTGGGTCGGGGGCGGTGTTGGGCGCCCCTCACGAGTGTCAACACCGCGCGGCTGTTGTTGTTGTTGTGATGACAAGTGCTGCCAATGGATGGACACAAATGCGAGACAATGAGTGGATTGAGTGGACTCTTCACCGGAAGCGACGTCTCAACGGATGTATTGTTTATGTCTTTCGCGATGTCTATAGAAATGGCGCCATTTGTTGGGCCACAAGAGGTTGAGGCGATGATCACTGTATGGCTCGTATGGCGTGAATGTATGCAATCGTATGGCTATAACAGTGAGCCAACAGTGAGTCTATTCCTATATAGCGTTCATAGAGAGCCTACCAGTGCTTACCTATGGGTGCGCTCTGTGGCGGTGGTGGTGATGGCGATGGGGGTGTCTGTCAGCCAATGAGATGCGCGCAAAACGCGATTCAAATAAATGGCTTTTTTGTAACGATATATTTGACGCACTATTGTGTCGACTGTTGACACCGTTTGCGACCACTTATTCACATGAAAGTCATTTTCGACTATTAATTAGCGTTTCATTCATTAGTATTCAATTGAGTTTTGCGCACAAATCACACACTTTTGAGGCAAATGTAGTCGAGAGTTGACACAAACACTGAGAAAAACTGATATTATTGACCGCTTTTTGCGCTCACTTTCGGACGCCTAGTGTCCGTCCAATGGGTGTCACGATTAGTGTCGTCCACTCACTGGCAGTGAATGCGAGCATCGAATCAAAACAATAGCCAATCGCGCGACTGATGTGAGCGATAAGTGCCGTCAAAACTCTCGTACGGTTTGTATGACACCAGCGATTGAGTCAATGGTTTCGTAGCGCTTCATATGATGGGCACTATTGGAGTGTAGTTTCAATCACAGCCACCAGTCGTAGGGAGTGGTTCGCTAACGGCAACAGCG